ATACAACCAGAGGAGTCGCCCCCTGGTGGTCACTAGAGAGAATGCAGTGTGTCCCATCAACATGAAGCTTCTTCTTGTCTCCGTTCATTAATGTTCTCTCTGTGTCGTTGTCCTCTCTCTGCAGAGTCCTACCAGTTTCCAGGTTTTCAGGGTTTGCTTCAGGACAACGACACGCTGCGTCTGGGTCTGGACTTCCAGAGGTTGTTACGCATCAACCACATGTTGTACATCGCTGCCAGGTCAGCCGACACACACACACACACACACACCATTTAGATGTTCAACGATAAAATGGAAAGAAATCCACTGGAGACACAGAAACTCACCAAAACAATGGTTTCTGTGTGATCTTTGGACGTTAGTCGGCCTTTGAGAGCAGCAACACGTTATCTTCTGTTCTGTTAATCTTGCAGATTGAAGGAAATATTTACAAATATCATCAATGAACTAAATTACTTTCTGTCTTTCTTCTTGTGTTTGACGTCCTCTCAAGTCGCTTGAAATCCACAATCAGGGCTTCATCATCAATGTACTTTTAAGTTTTTCTACTTAAAAAGTATCTGGATCTGTGTTCTTATGCTTTGTGGTATTATCTATTCTGTCTGGTTAGATCTGATCTGCTCTGTTGCTTGTAACTGCTTGTTTTAAGATGAATTCTGGGAAAATATTAAATGACTAACTTCATAAGACGTAGATTAAGTCATGATAACATGTTAAAGACACGGACAGACGTGATAAAGGCTGATTTTGACACAAACAAGCTCATCAAAATGTATAACGTATAAACAGCACATTTATTGTAATGCATGAATGAATGTACGAGGTGTGACTCAGCATGATGAGCGCTGACTCGGTGCTTTCAACTCCTCAGGGATCACGTGTTTGCAGTGAACCTGACGACGGCTTCAGAGGCGTTCGTCCCTCGGCTGGTGAGTCAAATTATATGATCAACACTTTTATTTGTAGCTTCTTTGAAAACACAAATGTTTTTGCACCCAGACAGTCGGACGAGGTACAGAATCCGTCACTCAACGTGGTCGACCTCTGAACCGCGGAGGGACACGGTTCTATCCACAGACGATTACTTCCATTCCAGCTCTGCATTTATGAGATTTCACCGTGATAACAGCTGCAGACGAGACACTTGAACTGTGAAGTCATGCTTGAAACAATGGCTCGTTGATTTCAGACAGAACAGAGAAAAGAAAAGGCTTTCAGGACTAATGAGTGAGACAAAGTAATCTCAGGTAAACAGTAAAGATCAGGACAGAGCGCTGATATCATCCAGGGCTGAATGTTTTAGGACGTATCCTGTAACTTCAAGCCGGTGAAGTGATGCTGGATAAATAAGCTGAACAGCAAGATTGTGGTCAGCGGCAGCGCTGAGTCTCTGCCTCACTCGCCTACATATCGCGGAAAGACAAGTTGGCTAGCTAACTAGCAGCATCTGGCTGGCTATTTCCAACGTACAGCAAGCTAACATTAGTGGACAGCTGGCTAGTTAGCTAGCTTGTTGATTCCACCATGCTTTAATGCTACACTGATTACAGAAAATGAGCTGAACAGCTGCAGCACTGGGTCTGATGGTCCCTCCGCCTCCCTGTCGCTCTGGAGAAGGAAAAGTCAGCTAGCTACCTTGCTAGCCTGCTAATTCCACCATGCTTTAATGCTACATTGGTTACAGAAAATAAGCAAGCTTGTGGTCAGCGGTCTAACGGCACCTCCGCCTCATTCCCTGCTGCTCTGGAGAAAGACAAGCTAGCTAGCTAACTAGCCAGCCATCCGTCTCCAGAGCTGCTTCTAGTCTCTTCCTGGCGAGCTGCGACAACACTGACGTGTGTTGACACCATCACAAGTGACAGCCGTCGCCATTTTTGTTTTGTACTTGTCAAACGACCACGGAAACCACTTCTATGTCACCGTCTCTTTCCCGTCACACTAGGATTGAGTTTCTAGCTTCTTTTAGAAAACATCACACAGACTCTGAGCTGCTGCTCCGCTCTGTGATTTCTGTCTCACGTTAGAATCTTTCCCTCAAAGCGCCGAGACCGGCATTAAACCTGACGGCTGACAAACGCAGAGAAGCATTTCTTCTTCTTGTTTTCCTTACGCAGTGAATATCAGAGCGGCAGAACAAAACTACAGCAGCTCGTAACACAAAGGACGCGCTTCCCTTTGATCTGCACACCTCCTCCTCATCAAAGAGGAGAGGTTACAGGGTGCCCCCCCCCGACCGTAATGGGCCTCCCGGTGCATTGTGGGACGGCCCACAGCAGCTCTTTGATGTGAGATGTTAGTCTCGTTATCAGTGATCCGACCTTTCAGTCCTCCTCTCTGTATGTTTGTCTTTAAAGGAAAGTGTTAAATGTTTTATTTTATGAACTCGTGTTGTCCTCACGTCTGACATCTTCACCTGTTCAACGTCCACAACGACACATTTCTGTCATTTTTGTTCCGCTATTATGTCTCTCAGGTGGAAATAATCTGTTCTCGATGGAGGTTTTTACACATTATCTTCCATAATAATAGATAATCTTCCTGCATATCAGAGGGAACGATATCAGCCAACGCCACATTCTGTTCATGTGGGATGGAGAGTAAAAAATGGGAAATATTGCCATGTTTATGACTCACGACGGTTATAAAACAACAGTGTTTGTTGTGTGAGGGTTAAAAAATACTGTGCATTTACATTAAACTTAAACTATTAAACTATTGAGGTTTTTTGAATGTTGGTCGTGATATTTTTTTTTATGTCATCACTTTAAAAAGATGAAAAGATAAGAGTTCTTGTAATTGTAGATACATAAATGTAATTTCTACGTCCATGTTGGGAGTGATGTATTGGTCGGCTCAGATTCAATAACTCCTCACCTGAGTGTTTCTGAGTCCTCCTCCTCACCTGAGTGTTTCTGAGTCCTCCTCCTCACCTGAGTGTTTCTGAGTCCTACTCCTCACCTGAGTGTTTCTGAGTCCTACTCCTCACCTGAGTGTTTGCATTCAGTTCTCATCAACAAACATCTTCCTGTTTCAGAAGCTGACGTGGCGATCCAAAGACGTCAGCAAGTGTACGGTCAGAGGGAAGAACAGCGTGAGTTTCTGTTTCATTACCTCAGAACCTCCTCTTCTTCTGTGGTTTTCTCACTTTCATTTATTTGTGTTTATGGACGGATGCAGAATTAAATACGTAGATGAAATCAGACACGTTTTGTTAGTTCTAACCTGCAGAAACTATTTTAGGAAAACGTTTCATCGCTGACGGACTTGATAAATAATCAGCTATGATGCTTAATTTCTTAAAGTTCAGCGACACCAAAGATAAAATTAGAAAGCCTCTGTTTGCTTCTGTAAAACGAACATATTAAAGACTTGTCGTTCTTGTAAAGATACGATGTTTGTGTCACGATGAATGAGGGTCGTCACACTCTGGTGTTGGTGTTTCTAGGACGAGTGCTACAACTACGTCAAAGTTCTGGTGCCACGAAACGACGAGACGCTGTTCGCCTGCGGCACCAACGCCTTCAACCCCACCTGCCGAAACTACAAGGTAAACGGGCTTTCTGCATGTTCTCAGCCGTTGATGAAGACTTCTTTTCCAGCTTCATGTCCATCGTTTTAATGTATTTTAAGACCTGATCAGAGCAGGAAATACTTCAATCACACTGGAGAGGACTGTGCTTTCAAAATAAAAGTAGCGGGTCTGTCCAGATGTTTCATAACTTTAGCGGAGCGGAGGCAGTTAGCTAACCAGTGCAGCACTAACACAGCGTATCCTCACACAACGGTTCCTGTGATACAAAAAACATACTCCTCTTTTTTTGTGCGTTTTTTCAGCAACACGTTTAAATCTCCGCTCATAGTCTTTTCAAAATAAAATTCAGTGTTCACACTAAACAACAAAAACAAAACGACTTGGTTGGGTTTGAGGAAAAGATTTTCTTTTGGGTTAAAATCAGTACAGAAGTGTTGCTGAGTTTACTTCTCGTTCGGTCTCCTGGAGGAAAGTCTGATTATACTTCCTTGTGTGTGGTTACATGGAATAAACACAGATGATTGAGCATTATTTCCTGTTGTATGTCACAAAGCTCAGAGAAGCTCTGATAACAGACTCATTCTTTACTCCTCTATATCTTTACATAGATGATGTAGTGTATTATGGTATTAATGCTCTGAATACCGTAAATAAAACCTTTAACTACCAACTTACTGCTTTATAATTATTTTAAAAACAAATGAATTAGCTTCGGTTTAAATGTAACCTTCCCTGCACAGTATTGTGTGTGTGTGTGTGTGTGTGTGTGTGTGTGTGTGTATGTGTGTGGCTTAATGAGCAGAGAGGCGACGAGGTGACTTTTATTGTGGCGGGGCTCCTTCAGCTCCTAATTGAAAGTGTCAGGCAGCTCGAGACGCCTCGTCAGGACCAAACACTACACCTTCACAAAAAGCCACAATCTCAGGTGTCAATCCAGAGTCGTGCCCCCCCCCCCCCCCCGACACCTTTTTTTTTTTTCACCTTGCCGTGGTGCCGTGAGTTTGATTGACAGGCGTTGACCCCGTTTAGCAGCAGCTTCCTGTGCTTTGAAACCTCCGGCGGCGGGAAGAAAACCCAAGTTTACCTGCAGACGAGGAGCTCTGCTTCCTGTTCTATTTGGATCCAAAAGGAGAGAAGCAGCACTCGGGAAAACTGAGCTGCTCTCATCCTATTGATTGATGGCAGAAAATAAAACCCGGCTTGTAAAGAACAGGAAGTCTTTCACTGGATGCAGCTCCACAGATAATCAGCGATGAAGCTCTAAACATATATTCTACTGTGATCGATGATCGATATGATTGAAGTGTTTTTTAATCAAACGTTAAATCTTTACTTGAAAGAATGCTTCAGTCATGTTTCTATATCAAGATCATTATTATTCATCTGCACTGTAAAGAAATAGTGATTAATATACATGTCAGCACTAAATACTAGAGACACTCATTCCACCAGTCTAAACATATATAAACATATATAAACATAGTTATAATGGTAATACATACGGTAAGTGGAGATAACTGTATTATTTAAAGTGATTTCAGAGCGAAGCACTAAAGTTTAAATGTCCAGAGAGTCTGAAACATGTCCTGAGCTTTCATGTCTTTATTCTGAGATTCTCTTCAGGATAGTGACATTCAAACACAAGCCTTCCATCTCTGTAGTATCTTATATATACTATATGTTAATGAAATTACATATTTACAGTTCATTACAATAAACTTGACAAAAATCATGAATTATTTTTAATATTTGTATTTATTTGTTGAAACAAGAGTGACTGAATTCTATATGAAAACATAAACAATGCACTGATCCGTCTTCACGTGTGTCCATCAATCATTGCTTTAGCGTGTGCTGCTCTCACCAGCATGCTAACGGTTAGCCTAGCCGCCATGCTGTAGAGCTCCAGGAGGATCAGTGCTTCCGTCATAAAGTAGCCAGGAATGAAAACGCTGGAAACACTGATATAGAATATGTTAATGAGTCTGATGACGTGTCGTCGTGGAGTTTTAAAATGTTTTGGTGGATTTTAGGAGACAGAACAGTATTTTGAACCTGCTGAGGAGCTGTCCACGGTGCTGAAATGAAAATCACTTTAACTTACGATGAACACTTGAAACGATGAAAGTAAACTCTGGGGTGTCATTTTATTCTCTTTACTTTCATGGTTTTCTTATTTTTAACAAAAAGAGCCAAAACTCTGAGAACGAGGAAGAACTTTGGTAGATAATAATGAGAATAAATCTGAAACAAACATATCGCTGAGCTTGTTATTCATGAATAAGCACATATATACGTGTGGTCCTCTTAAAGAGACGCTGCTCTCACTCTGTTACTTCATGTGGCTGAGAGTCTCTGCTGAACACTGACTGACACCAGAAGAGTTTACGTACATTCCGTCTAGTACTGCGTGACGTGTACTTTTACTACTTCGCGGTACGTGTGTCTCCTCTCAGATGACGTCTCTGGAGCAGGTCGGGGAGGAGCTGGTGGGTCAGGCTCGGTGTCCCTTTGAGTCCGGTCAGTCCAACGTCGGACTGTTCGCTGGTGAGTCATCAAACACTCGTTCATCTCGTCTCTCTGTGTGATGTATTCACAACCTCCATCTCCACGTGTGTAGTCAGGGAAGTATTCAAGTCCTCTACTGCAGTAAAAGTACGAATACCACACAATGAGAGTACTTTACCACAAGGAAAAGTCCCATTCAGAACTGCACAAAGTAAAAGTATGTGAGTAATAGTAGCAGTTACAGTAAAATATTCATTGCTCAGTAAAATGTTTTACTGTTATATCTGATGTTTCTGCTGCAGTAATGTGTGTGTTTCATTGTAATTAGTTTCTTTAATCTGTATCAATGCATCTTATTCTATGACATCATCAGATGATGCTGTGAGAAGGAACATAAGAAGTACAACATGTACCTCTGAGATGTAGTACAGTGTAAAGTACAACATGTACCTCT